TTTTGGCATCATATATGAATATTGTGTTAATAACTGTCATTTTGATAGGAACTTCAAATTTTTTCTGTCTTGTACGTACAGGTTGAAGTCACTGACTGGATCACCTTCAGATTTAGAAAAGGCTGGACATGAGGAAGCAGTTCATGGCTTCAAGTTTTTCAGAGCTCTGGCTCCTGAAAAGGTAGCTAATGTATATGACAAATTTATGTTCTGTGCCAGGTATATATAGTAAATAAAATTGTATTTTTTATTTTTAAATTATCCATAAATAACCCTGCATATCTTTCTTATTCAATGGACAAGCTAGACAAAAATGCAAAAACAGAGGGCTCTAAATCTCTGTGGTTTTCATTCTCATTTTTCACATTTCCGAATTTCAGTTTAGAAGGTAGTACAAACTGATTAACTGTTTTAAACATATAAAAGAAACCCTAAAATCTTCCTCTGCTTCAACAGAAAACCTAAATATCTTAAGTTTACTCTAAAGATGTGTGAAAATACTAGAATAACAGTGAATTCCTGGTTGCATTCAATAGTTCTTTCAGGGTTCCTATGAAATCAGAAGTCAGGAGAGTTAGATTTCATTGCATATACTTTCTACAACTCTAATTGAATATCAGTGGAGCTCTTCCATCTTTACTTGGCTTTAACCTTAAAAGTCATGGGAATATAAAATTTCTCTTGCAGTTGTAGTAAGAATGTCTTGATTACCTTTTGTCTTCAGCTACTAATGCACTGACTTTGGCTTCCCTTGGTCAGCTCCAACATTTGGAAACTTTTGAGTTTGTAAGCAAAGAGGCTGGTGCAGTATTTGGGTTACTTCCTATCTATGAGGTAAGCAAAAGTGTTTTCTACCTTTTATTGTGTTGTTCATACCTCAGAAGCCATTAGCACTTGTACTTTATTACAGTGACATGCTCTGACATTCCACTGTTAATTGTCTGCTTCTCAATTTAATTTTCTAACATGATTTGCATTACTACTTATCCAACTCCAACTCCAACTTTGGTGGAAGCTTGAGCATCCAATTGAAGTGAGCATGCCAAACAGTGAGTATTGCAGATGCTTACTCCTCCTGTTCAACCTCATGTCAGTAATGTTTTGCTCAGACTGGATTCTTTTAACCAGCCCCAAACCTATTGATTCCCATCCGTCCAAAGATTTGAGTAATTTAAGGTAGTACTATTTTATGGGTATTAATGATCTGATCTATTGCAATCTGACTGGCAAAGCTTCTTAGGTTTTTCTTTTATGGAGCAAGATCAGAATATTCCACAGACTTATCTATCCCACATATCATAGGATGAAATTAATCACCCTTAGCAAAGGTGTTGACCCCTTTCTGTAGAGGGTATCTAGAGAACTGACTTGGATCATAATTAGATCCTACATGACCAGTTAGGTGGGATTAATAGGATACTTTGCATTCCAGCTCTGTATTCCAATACATATGACCTAATCCTTGTACATGCAGCATTACAACGTGTCAGAAAAAACTCAGGAGCACAGTGTTCAAATGATTGGCACATATGCTACTTTTCTGACCATTAATGTACTTTGGAAATCTGTGTTTCATTTTCTGCCTGAAAAAGAAAATAAAATACTCTGAAGCCAAGGGCACTGCAATGGATTTAAAACAAAATGAAATCAGACTTTTTCTGTAAGCTATGTGCACCAAAATATAATTTTTGTCTGTGCTGTTACAAAATGCTATCAATCTGGTCTATTGACCTTAGTATGTTAATTAGTTCTTGAAATTTTTTAAAGGTCTTCAAAGGATCAAAGCTGAGAAGATCGGTCACAAGGGACGGGAAAAGTATCCAGATTCCATTGAAGACTTGAGTCAAGACAAATAAATGTAGTTTCACTTCTTCATTTAAGTGGATTAGCAGATTTCTTTTGTTATTTTTCTTTCTCTGCTTTTCAATTAAGTTTAAATCTATTTCATTATTAAGTAAAACATATAGAAAACACACCTTTACTTCTATTCCAATCCTTCATGCAAAGGATAAATTCTAATAAAGCCAGTGTATGATTATAATTAGATATTGAAGAGCCCATTTGACTTAATGTATATTTGCTGACAGTTATAATCTATGTCAAAACCACTGATTTCCTCTCTGCTTCAATTTGTCCGGTTTGAACTTCTGAATATTGAATATTACACTGCTTTTTTTTCTTGCCAGATTAATCATAAGGTCAACAAAGAGTTAATATGCCCTGCTGTTTCTGCCTGTTTGTGCGGTGGCTCCCTGCCACGGCCTCGGGCAGATGGGATGAGCCTCTGGCACTGCCCGTGTGAGGCCGGGTGGCCACCACGAGAGAGGCACCCCAGGGAACGGCGTCCATCGCCCTGGTGGTGCCGAGTGCTGCGGCGTGGGTGAGCAGCTTCCGTAGCTCCGCACGCTGAGAGCAGGTGAAGGGATGAGACAAGGATACTTTCTGCCAGCCCAAAGAGTCTTTATTTTCCCCAGGTGGGGCAAGAACAAAGGTGCTCTCTGAGTGGGTGCAGGAACAAATGCCAAAGAAATCAAAAATTACAGCAGCTTAAGTAGGAGGTGGGCGGACAGGGGTGCAAACCTGTTTCGCCCGATGGAGATAAACCAGAGAGGGATAACACCAGTTACAACAACCTGTGATAATGTAACGGGGTAGGCACAAGGTCAGGGGACAAATAGAAAAGCTAAACTGGGGTGATTGATACAGAATTTTCTGGAAGAAACTGGGGGTGGTTACAGGATTGACAGCCAAAAGGGTACAAACAAACTCGGATTGATGGAACCAAATAAGGAGAAAACAGGGAGAGGTGAGAAGATTGACAGGTAACTGGGAAGCCAAGTGGCAGGAACTTTTGGATCAAACCAACTGTGAGGGGACAAATGGGGGAGCATAAAGGCTAACTAACATTAATAAAACAAACTGACTAAATCAAACCACACCGCAACATGTTTGCTCCTTGCTTATGCTTTCAAAGAGTGTATTCATCTTCTAAGCCAGAAAAGTGCCTTCTGAACTCATATTCAATTAATTATCCATTATGCTTCCACAAATTTTTTCTTGCATTTCAGCATTTCAGGACAATGTCATAACATTGCCATAACATCAGAGCAGAAAATACATTTTCATCCTTTGGCTAAGCATACAAATGGTGCCAAGTGTCTCACCTTAGTGAGAAAAAAGGTAATTGCATGTAATAATGCATATAACTAGTGATATTATTACCTATTATTTTGGAGAAAATATAAGGTTTTCTATATCACTGGTATTGAATGGTGTTTGACCTGCTGGTTTTCTTGAAAAGACATTCGTTTCATTAACTGAATATACAAAATGACTTGCAATTATTTACCTGCCTTCGACTTGTTATAAGGCTAGATGGATTTAAGGGTAGCTGCAAAAGATCATGTGGGAGTATATTTAAAATCCTTATTATCAGCTGTACCAGATCTGGCAGGGATCAATGTAATTTTCTTGATAGCAGCTGGATCCAGAATTAGTAAATAAAACAGTGCTGATAACACACCAGTGTTTTGCCTATTGCTGAGCAATGCCAGCATAACAAGAAGGTGCTTTTTTCCCCACAGCCAGTGAGTAAGCTGGGAAAGGACACAGCTGGGACAGCACATACCATATAACATCCTCATGGAATGGGGAGGGAACAAAGATGTTCATGGTTATAGTGTTTGTCTTCCCAAATTGTCTTTCCAATATGTGTGCTGAGGCCCTGTTTCCCAAGAAGTGGTTAAACGAACATCTGCCTGCTGGTGGTAAGCTGGTTCTTGTTTTGCTGTGCTTGCACATGCAGCTTTGCTTCACTTATTAAGCTGTCTTCATTGTGGCCCAAGAATTTTCTCACTTTTGCTCTTCCACATCTCTTCCCCATCCCACTAGGACAAGTGAGGAAGCAAGCAAGAAACTGGGCAGGCACTTGGTGTCTGCAGAGTCAGCCCACCACATTAGCCAATCTTGTGATCAAAACTAAAATCAGACTTGTCTGACAAACCAAGTGGCACCAAATAAAGTGTGATCTGTCATTTACTGCTTGTATTCACTTCATCTGACCCATGATTTAGCAGTTAGCATATGAAAGGTAACATTCTTGCAATTCTGAGTCCTATATAATTTTGAAATCTACATAAAGTCTTTTTCAGTTACCTGAAAATTGCCTATTCTTCAAATATTATTGTATGTGCACAGTTCAAGTGAAATCCTTACCCATTTATTTTAATGCTCGTATGTGTTATGTTTTAGCATACATAATATAATATTTTCTCTTTGGCATTGTCCCTACTAACAGGTGTAAATTGTTTTACTGTGGTTGCAAGATGCAGATATCCCACTTCTCTTCTGTTCATTAACTGACTACTTACTTCCTCAAAACTGACTATTTACTCAATATTTCTTTTTACCAAACTTTTATCAGTGCTAGTATTTAATATGTTCTTAATTTTCAAATTATACCCTTTTCAGTCTTGCTTCCTTTTCCCTTCAGTTTTCTTTATTAATTGCTTGTGTTTTCTAGGAGTTGACTTGTAGTCATGGCTGTTCATGCCACTATACTCTCCACTGTACAGAAACTATCCATAATGTAGTACTATTGCCAGTAAAAATCAAGTGTTTATGGCGAGTGAAATAATGGACAAGCTCTCAGGAGAGAAAGGAGGGAATCATGCTATAAAGAAAACTGTCAAAAATGCATTATATGTGTGTGCTATCTTTATCAGCCTTCCATCCACTCACTATCTTACTGTTATGCTATTTAAAGTGTGACCAAGTTAGAGTGCTGTAAGTGCTATCAGATCTTTTTTTCATGATTCATTATATTAAAAAAAAACTGGGGTAGATCAGGCTGCATGTCTTTGCTCAGCACTACCGTTTACTTTCAAACCCTAGGCCTTTATAAGCACCAAATAGAAACTGGTCCTGGCCCCAACCATTTTATACAATGATCTTATCCAACTGTCTTTCTTAAGTGTCAATAGGAAAGCAGAGACATTTAATTTCTTTGAACAGATAATCCACTAAGGCATTGCACAGAATTTATTAGAAGATTAGTTGTTTATCAGAGGATAAGACTGGAAAAGAAATTAAGCACAGGCAAGTGATGCTTGCACCCACTCATCTTCTATCAGTCTTTTCAATGCTGGGTCTAGTACAAAGGTGTGTGTTAATGGATTTGTTGGTATTAACTGTGGATTTCCTCTATCTTGATGCAGGATGGTTTCCTTCTACCAGCATCCACAGTTATATCGCACTTAAATGTTCCAGGTGAATGAGTTGTTTGATTGTTCCAGATCACTACTCTATTAAGAAAAGGCATCTTAACAGGACAGCCTCTTTCAGCATGGCAGAAGTTTGTGCTTCTGCTGGCTGCAGTAGTTAGTTTGCCAGAATTTCATTACAGCCCTTGCCAGTGCTTTACAAAATCTGTGACGCTCTTCAGCTGCCCTCACCCACTGGGGCAGTTCAAGCTGAATGGCATCAATGGTGCCAGAACTACGGGAACCAAAAGTCTTTGTTATGTACCCGCCACTATAATAGCTTCCATTATTTGGGCTAGGATTGGATGGAGAAGGCACACAAACGTAACTCTTATTTTGTCCTTCAATATATTTACCCAAACTTCTGTTCCCCGCAATCAAAGTCTCAGAAGACACATTGACCAGCTGACTGGCCAGATGGCTTATTGAGGAATTCGATGCAGAAAATACACCTGTGTTAAGGGAAGTTTTTGAAAGTGTGTAACCTAGTTCTATCCACCTTTCAGGATGTGCTTGTCCATGGATATCCAGAATTAGGCCCCCTGACATCTGTGATTTTGCAGTGGTCAAAAATCCCATATAGTCCTCCCAGGCCTGTTCTGCTTGGGGAATTCCAAAGGAGGCTTCTTCCTTTTCCCTGTTAGCATCCATCTTGAACCTCTGTAGGTGGTTTATGATGATATGTGGGAAGAAACCATCAGTAATTTTGTTGATTTCTTCAGCAAGAGCCTGAGCCACCTCTATAGTATACCTGTCTTGGTTGGTAGGCACTTTGCATTTCATAGCATTTTGACTACTTCCAGGAGGACAGACATGAGAGAAAATACAAGAGGATGTCATTGCATTCCAACAGGCAGCCTCTCGATCAGGGATGTCTTTAGGTTCCATTGATCCACCATGTGGGACAGAGAGAATGAGGTTCATGTTGCCCACTTGATATTCTGTGAAATTATTATGACCAAATATAACATCTTTGGTGCCAGTGACTTTCAAAAGCAAAGGTAAAATGGAAAGGAGGAATAAATACATGTTTTTCATTTGCTGCTGGAAGACTCAGCAATATGGAATATATCAGTATCTACAAAAAAGCAAAAAACAGACTCTAGATTACTTTCAGTTGGGAACACATGAGACTGTTCAGCTGCTACTGGCATAATTAGTTAATGATTAACCTATTTTAGTTCTATTCCATGTAGCACAAAGGAGAACACTTATATGAGAAACAGAAATTAACAGGGCACTTAGTATGGCTCGATGTAACAGATGCAAGGGAAATGTCCCAGAAAGCACAAACAGTATTTGATCACCCTATCTGATTCCAGAGAATTATCCCAGCAAAATATCTGATTTTTTTTTTTTTTGCATCAAAGCCTCTCTTTTTTCATCTCTGAAATGTAAGAAAATTCTAACAGAATTTGATAAAACATCTGTATGACATTAACCTGTGTGAAATAGCTTTGTATTATCAATGTGGTTATAGAGGCTATGTCAGATCAGACCAGCACTTGTGTGACCAGGCTTGTGTAAAATAATCAGACTGATAAAAGTTGAGTGCTACCAAGCTCTGTCTTAATTATGCTCCAGACTGGGTTACTTTAAAACCTTTATAGACAGTCTATAAGGTATAGATAGGTACCCTGGAGTGCATTAAGTAGTGACTCTGTTCTCTTTAGTTTGCAAGTCTCCATTCTGTTTAAGTGAACTAAAATACTTTAAAGCCCTCACTAATGATGCCATTTTTTGGAAAGCTGGAATTTAACAAGATGCTGGCAGGTTTTTCTGTTTTGAAGATATGTCTAGCAAGATCAGCGTCTTGAGTGTAACTGTATTTGGTGCTGTAACATGAACCAGTAAAGTCAGTGAAATCAGAATAAAAATGGATACTTTTCACTTCCAGGAGTGAAAAACCTAATCAGTAAAGGCCAGATGAGTATATAGACACATGTATTTGCAGATGACTCAGGGTACCCTGTTGTCTGGTCCCAGCCCTATCATTACAGCACCTGAGGAAATACAGAAGACAAGAGGAGAGACAAAGGTGAGAGAGAGAAAGAAAGAAGATCAGCACAAATCTATCCCCAACTTCTGGCCTGAGACTATGTATGAGAGCAGCCAGTAATACTGAGAAGGCAGTGGGCACTGTGGAAGCACCTGCCATCAGCTGCCTACTCTAAGAAAGGGAGAGGGCAACGTCACCCAAATAATGCAGTAAAATATTATTTTCCTGCTATGAGGGAGTACTGCTGGATTTTTAGAGACAATCTCTCCTGCCAACTGCACTCTGGGGAACCTGTACCTGAAAAATAAACATCTATCTTCTGCTCTACTGTCTGGGCTGAAAGTCCCATAAAAGTCTGTGAGCTGGAATCGGATATCTGAGAATCTCAGCTACAGTTTTCCTGTTTATGCCAAAATATTTTTTTGATTCATTTTAAGCTTTCATTTAAAAGCTTCTTTTAGTTGAGCTACTGGCTTAAAAAAAGATTTTATCCAAGGCCCATATGGTCCATGCTTCCGTAGACTTCCCTGAAACACAGACATTCACCTGCTAGAAACACTTAGGAAAGGAATGCTTTCAAACATTATTCAAAATCCCTTTTCTCAGAAAAATAGACTACACATGCAGAGTAAGTATGGGAATAGCTTACCTGAGGTGCAGGGGAGTTCAGCACCAAGTTAAATAAGTTGACAGCAACAGCTCCCCAGAGGCTGCTCACCTGCCCCAGAAGGACTCACTCGGCTTTCTTGTCTCAGGCTCTCTTTCAAATACGATGACACAGCCGTTCCTTTCCCACAGCATGCCACGCTGTTTGTTGTTCTCGGCAGCAGTTCTCTTGTCTTTTTGCAATTTCTTGTTAATTATTGCATCAAGCTGTTAATGCTAGTAGATCATGCCTTAATGATAGATATATGGAGAGCTCTATAATTCCCAAACTGAAACATGGCACAGCTCATGTTCTAGACAGACTTGGAGAGTCTGG